GGGAAGGGGGGCAGTTGGGGGGGGGGGGTGTGTGTTTCTTTTTTGTTATCAAGCTTATAGAATTATTTATGAATTACAAAACCATATTATTATATAAAAGAGCGAACTATTTGTACTATGCAGAGAGGAACAAACCATTGGACGAATCTCAAAAGCGTCATGTTAAAGCTAAAGAAACCGGTTACAAAGGAATGTACGTGGTGTGACTCCATTTGCATGAAATCTAAGGAAGGAGAGGACTAGCCCTGGGGGCATCGTCTGGAAAGGGGCAGGGGCGCCAGGACATGGCCCTATCCTCTTTAGGGTGTGATTGCACTAACGCACACAACTGTCAAAAAAGAAAGCTCCTAAAATCTGCATATTTTATTGCATGTTATTTATGCCTCACTAAAAAAGTGTAAAAGTAAACACTATTTGATACGACATTCCCAATTGTAAAGAGAAGTTCTGTCATATTATTACTTGATATTACATGATTTTTATAATATTTAAAGCATTCAGAGCACAGAAAAAATTTTTTTTTCATTTTAACTAACATAACACTGGCATATAAATTTAGAGAAGACAGGGGCTTCCCTGGTGGCGCAGTGGTTGAGAGTCTGCCTACTGATGCAGGGGACGCGGGTTCGTGCCCCGGTCCAGGAAGATCCCACATGCCGCGGAGCGGCTGGGCCCATGAGCCGTGGCCGCTGAGCCTGCGCGTCTGGAGCCTGTGCTCCGCAACGGGAGAGGCCACAACAGTGAGAGGCCTGCGTACCGCAAAAAAGAAAAAAAAAATTTAGGGAAGAGAGGGAAATCCTGGAGCTTATGAGGACATGCAAAGACTTACCATGTTCATCTCAACATATGCTAAGAAGAAATTTGATAAATTCAACAAGCATTCTCAATTAATTTTAAATCCCCGAAGTAAAAATAACTAAGGATGGATATAAATCTGAAAGCAAATCAGAAAGAGGAAGAGCTTTCCAAGTCAAGTTGGGAAAAAAGACAAACATGCCTCTTATCGGAGACATTCGTTCTAGAAATGATCTAGAATATTGTTCTAGAAACGCTGGCCAAGAAAAGTCGTTTTGAAAATGAACTGAGGGGTGTAGATATTAGAAAGAAGTAAAATTAGTTTTCTATTATATAATTTCTACTTGAAAATAAAAAAAACAAACTAAGAAAATCAACAGAATAACTACTAGACCCAATAAGAGAATGCAGTAAGGTGGCCAATTACAAAAGCAACACACAAAATCTCAAGTTTTCCTACATAAAAATATTAACCACTTAAAGATGTCACGTTAAAGATTCCATTTGTAATGGCAGCAACAATAAACAGACAGGAATAACGGTAAGAAGAGTATAGGGCAGGGGTTCTCAACTGGGGATGGTTCTGTCCTCAGGGGACACCTGGCAATGTCTGAAGACATTTTAAATTGTCACAAATGGCCGTGTCTATCAGGTGGAGGCCAGAGATGCTGCTATACACCTTACCATGCATAGGACAGACCCCCACGACAAGAATGATCCAGCCCAAAGCAATGGGGCTGGAGCTGGGAAACCGTGATATACGGGATCAGATGTATAATGATGGATGATGGGTGACTGATGATTGAGAGTTTCATGTGGTCTGTGAAAAGTGGGCTGTAAATTAATCGGCAGTGTCAAAGCAGCTCTATCTAAGTGACAGGTACTGTGGGGCAGGGACTTTGCCCGAATTCTCGTCTATCTCCCCCAAGACCTGCACAAGCTACGCACAGGAAGATGCTTCATAAACATCCAAGGAGCAGCCACAAACCTGGCTCCTGGCATCGGGCAGCGACTCACCGACTCCGGGACCACGGGGTAAACCAGCGCAGCTCTCGGTAGTTGCCTTCATTGGCCAAGGCCATTTTGGGTCTGATGAGCAGGATCTTCCTACAGGCAGGGGGACAAGGCCACTCCTGAGATGAACACGCCCCATGACGAGAAACAGCTGCTGGTCCGTCCACCCCGACAGTCAACGGGCATAGGGCAGCTAGGACCCGGCAGGGGGGCACTTGCAGGCAGCTGATGTCCAGGGTCTGCGAGGGGACATGACAAGGCCTCCCTCCCTGGACTGACCTCCCAGCAATGGGGCCATGCGTCCCCAGACCCCACCCCGTGGCCTCTCTCTTTCTAATACCTGAAGGTGTCAGTGGTGGCGGAGACCAGGAGCAGTGCCACTTGAGTCACCTGCCTGGTACACCAGCCCCCACTAAGGTAGTTCCAGAAGAAGCCTCCCTGCACATGGCCCCCAGGGACCGTGCCCCAGGGCACTGGCACGAGTGCCCGCAGGCCCCTAGAGCTCAGGGGAGACAGGCAGGTCACTCTGCTCCCAGCGGTCACCTACCTGTTGAGAAATACCACCCTACAGTTGTAGCGGACGTTTCGGTGCATCACGGGCCTGCGGACAGAGGGGTGCACGCACTTGTTGGCAGAGAGCAGAGTTATGCGTCTGCTTCGATACGAAGTTCCGTCCTCCGTCCTTTATGAGAATCACAAGGCTCCCCTGTGGCTTTCTCAGACCAAAGTTTAACAACAGACCCAAGTGTTTCTGCCACAGCGTAGGCCCTAAATGGGAGAGAGTCTCTAAATAGAGCACCAAGTCCCTCCCTGCTCAGGGCTCTTCCTCTCCTTCTGGAAGGTTCTCGGACCTTCCAGTAGCTCCCTCCCTCCCCTTCTCACATCCCTGCTGTCACATCACCTCTTCATCCCCTGCTGGCCTCAGGCACTAGCCCCTGTGCCTCCCCAATTCTGCCTCCCAGCACCTCTCCTGACCCGAACACCCCCCACCCCAGAATGCAGGCTGCAGGGCAGGGGCAACGGGTCCGAGGGGCCGGGGCTGGGGTGGGGGGTGGTAGGCCCTGAGCAGATCTGCTCACCCCTCTGTCCGGACCCTTCTCAGGATAGACATTGTGTTTTACATCTCCTCCCAGACCACCTGGTACCTTCCTCCTCTGCAGGGGAGGGGATCAAAGCTCCAGAGGCTGGGGTGCTCTGCTGGCCGGTGGCTGGGGCACAACTGGGGCACAGCTGGGTCGAGACGGGGCAGAGCTGGGGCAGAGCTAGGCGGAGCTGGGCAGAAATGGGGCAGAGATGGGGCAGAGCTGGAGCAGAGCTGGGGCAGAGCTGGGAAGAGTTGGGCAGAGCTGAGGCACAGCTGGGCAGAGCTGGGCAGAGATGGCAGAGAAGGCAGAGCTGGGCAAAGCCCAGGTGCTGGAGCCCAGCTCAGGGTGAGAGCGCAGGAGCTCAGGGCAGAAGGCATCAGGCACCACGGGAGGATGGCCTTAAGGGGTACCTAAGACGATGGATTGTCAGATAAAATTAATAAGGCAAATAAATAAATGCCCTGGGACATGAGTAAACAAAGCAGTGATGGAGGAGGAAATAAAACCAACCATTAATAGTGTGCGCCATCAAGTCAGGTGGCCACGTCCCAATCCCGCTCTGCACTGGCTAAGTCTCGCTACCCTGGGTTCCTCCTCCCAGAGGGACTGAAGGACAGGATGCAGGCGGGGGTGCCCCCAGTTGTGGCCACGACACACGGATACCGCCAGCAAGGACTCCCACCGCTGTGGTTTCTAATCCTCCCCAGGCCAAACCAAAACCTGCCTGTGTTCAGATTTATACAAAAATGTGTTCAAGGCAGGAGGTAAACTTATATTTTAAACAAAACAGAGACCCTCAGTGAATATCCGATTTCCAATTGGAGTAAGCCTCTGGAACAAAAACAAAAACAAACAAAAAGCACTACGAGGAAAATTGAGAGCTCAAAACATAAAGTTAAATAGCAAACAACATACAAGTAAAAGTATTTTTATCATATGTGGGGATGGGTTGATATCTTTCATATATAAAGAACTCTTAAAATAAATTAGACGGACACTTCAATTGCAGGCTAAGGAACAAGTGTCACAAATGGCCAAAAGCAAACAAGAGAGTTCAACTTCCTAAGTCATGAAAACAAATAAATCTTTTTTTAAAAAAAAATTATCGAGCGCTTTAAGATTCTCTCTATTTTGCTTCTTTAAGTTTTCTTTATTTTGAGCTATAGCCCTTTGTGATCAGCGCTAAGGATAACACGCCTTCAAAAACAGGGCAGGAAGGAGGCTCGGCACCTTTTTCCTGGAGGATAATTTGTAAAGACAATTTCAGACGGAGAATACCAATGACATCATGGTATGACGGTTGTTTTCTTCAGTGGTGCTTACAGATCCAGATAAATGCTGGATTTCCAAAGAAAAATATCTTTAAATATGATTGTTAACACTTTGAGGGCAAAAAGCAGAAAAATTATAATCGGATTATAAGTTCAAGGCCAGCAGAGGAAAGTGGAACAAAGAAAACACACAAAAGACAACAGGAAAAACAAAAAAGAGAAAAACATGATGACTAGGACATTTAATCAAGTGGCCAGAGGTGGGAATGTGAATTGGTACAGCCACTACGGAGAACAGCATGGAGGTTCCTTAAAAAACTACACATAGAACTACCATATGACCCAGCAATCCCACTACTGGGCATATACCCTGAGAAAACCATAATTCAAAAAGAGTCATGTACCAAAATGTTCATTGCAGCTTTATTTACAATAGCCCGGAGGTGGAAACAACCTAAGTGTCCATCCTCGGATGAATGGATACAGAAGATGTGGCACATATATACAATGGAATATTACTCGGCCATAAAAAGAAACGAAATTGAGCTATTTGTAATGAGGTGGATAGACCTAGAGTCTGTCATACAGAGTGAAGTAAGTCAGAAAGACAAATACAAATACCGTATGCTAACACATATATATGGAATTTAAGAAAAAAAAATGTCATGAAGAACCTAGGGGTAAGACAGGAATAAAGACACAGACCTACTAGAGAATGGACTTGAGGATATGGGGAGGGGGAAGGGTAAGCTGTGACAAAGCGAGAGAGAGGCATGGACATATATACACTACCAAACGTAAAGTAGATAGCTAGTGGGAAGCAGCCGCATAGCACAGGGAGATCAGCTCGGTGCTTTGTGACCGCCTGGAGGGGTGGGATAGGGAGGGGGGGAGGGAGGGAGACGCAAGAGGGAGGAGATATGGGAACATATGTATATGTACAACTGATTCACTTTGTTATACAGCAGAAACTAGCACACCATTGTAAAGCAATTATACTCCAATAAAGATGTAAAAAAAAGTAAAAAAATAAAGTGGCCAGAATCAGTCCATGTGGTGGGCTGCGTAAAGGCCCCCAATGATGTCCCCATCCCGATTCCTAGGACGTGTGAGCATGTCACCTCATGCGGCAAAGGGTACCTCGCCGATATAACAAAGTTACAGACCCTGAGATGGGAGATTCTCCCGGACTCTCTGGGGCCCTCATCATAACCCCAAGGGTCCTTCTGTGAGGGAGGAGGGACAGTCGGAGGACACGTGGCAGTGGAAGCAGGGGTTGCAGTGATATGATCGCTGGCTTTGAAGATGGAGGGAGGGGGAGGGGCCACGAGCCAAGGGATGCGGGCGGGCCTCCCAAGCTGGACTCTTCCAAGGAAACCAATTCTCTCCCAACAGCCTCCAGAAGCCCAGCCCTGCTGACCCGTTTCAGACTTCTGAGCTCCACACCCACAAGACAACAGACTTGTGTGGTTCTGTGTGTCGCATCTGTGGTACTCTGTCACACAGCAGCAAAAGAGGAAACAAACATGGTCCATGTATCAAGAATGATAGTAAATGCGAACAAACTGGGTTAAAAATCTCATCTGCTCACTGCTTAAAAGAGACCTAGTTCACAGATGTCACAGCAGGTTGAAAAGGGAGTGCAGAACACGTGCAGGGCCGGGGCAAAGAAAGCACACTCGGCTACATTCACACCACATAGCACAGACACACTCAGGAAGAGTCCTAGGCCAGAGCCCTACCCATGTGACCTGCACCCGTGGAAACTACATGCTACGGACCTACAGGCAGACCTCGTTTTATTGCACTTTGCTTTACTGTACTTTGCAGGTATTGCATTTTTTTTTTTTCTTAATTGAAGGTCTGTGGCAACCCTGCATTGAGCAGGTGTATTGGTGCCATTTTTCCAACAGCTTTTCCTCACTTCCAGTCTGTGTCACATTTTGGTAATTCTCGCAATATTTCAAACTCTCCACCAGGAAAAAGATTACAACTCCCTGAAGGTTCAGATGATAGTTAACATTTTTTATCAATAAAGTATTTTTTAAGTAATGTAAGTACGTATATTTTTAGACATAATATTGCACACTTAATAGACTACAGTATAATGTAAATGTAACTTTTATATACCCTGGGAAACCAAAAACTTTGTGACTCACTTTATTGCTATATTTGGCTTTACTGCAGTGGTCTGGAACCAAACTTGCAAGGTCTCCAAGGTCTGCCTGTACGCCACGTGGGCCTACAGCTATGGAACCTACATCATATACGTCTATACTTATGGAACCTGCATCTATGGAACCTACACCATATGGACCTACACCTATGGACCTATATACCACATGGACCTATACCATATGGAGGAACCTACACCTATGGAATCTACAGCTATGAAAGCTACATTTATATACCTACACCCCCTGGAACCATATGGTCAGCATGTCGATATGGAGTGATGTGGAACCATCCCAAGACTTACCATTAAGTAAAGAAAGAGCTATACTTGTGAAAGGGAGAGCCTGTGCTCCCAGCTGTGCAAAGCGTGTTCCCACATGCACAGTAGCATCTGGAAGAACATACAAAAAAATCTCCCAAGAGCTGCCTCCGCTGGGGGAGTTAGGGACCTGCAGGGCTAGAGAGGGAACAAACCCCACTTCTCTACAAGAGGCCTTCTGTATCTTTGAAATGTGCAGATTCCACCTCCCTGATGTTAGGATGGCTGCAGACATCCGACGCCCTTGAACCTGCCTCTTTCCAAGCTTGCCTTTCCCCATGCTCACGCCGGCACTTACATTCCCACATCACAGATGATATCCTGAGTGACCGGAGATTCCAGAAGGGCAGCCAGGACCTGGAGCGAATGCAGGAGGGTGTCCGACTCGTAATAATGATCCCAACATCCGTAGCCACTGCAGAGGGAGGGAGCAGGACAGTGAACCCCTGAGACACACCGGGTGGGCCCGGGGGCAGGGGTGGGGCAGGGGCCTAGGGGCCTAGGAGTCAGAACATGCAGGGTTGCAACCCAGGCCTTTTTTTTTTTTTTTTTTTTTTTGCGGTACGCGGGCCTCTCACTGCTGTGGCCTCTCCCGTTGCGGAGCACAGGCTCCGGACGCACAGGCTCAGCGGCCATGGCCCACGGGCCCAGCCACCCCGCGGCATGTGGGATCTTCCCGGACTGGGGCACGAACCCATGTCCCCTGCATCGGCAGGCGGAGTCCCAACCACTGCGCCACCAGGGAAGCCCCTTGGTATCTTTATAAAGCCTCCCAGGAGATTCTATTGTGCAGCCAGACTTGGAATCACTGCTACAAAAAAAAACCCCCAAAATGATGCTTTTTATTGGAAATTCATGGACTGGGCCCCATCCACTTCTCATAGTTGTCAGTTACAATGAGAAATTCTCTCTCATGTCAAAAAGTGTCTGCTCTTGGATTTTTTTTTTTAACCTTCAATGTAGCCCAAATCCCACTAATCTACAAGAAAGGGATGCGAAAGAAACAAAGCTGGACCCAGAGAAAAACATTCCTCAGGCAAAGGGACCATGAATAATCATTCGAATGCCACTCACACAGCTACTCCTGAGTTTCTTGCTATAGATACTGAAGCTTGTAGTGGGCTGAATGGTGTCCCCCAAAAAGATGTGTCCATGCCCTAACCTCCAGAACCTGTGGATGTGACCTCATTTGGAAAAAGTGTCTTTAGAGATGTAAGTGAAGGATCTGGAGATGAGATGACCCTGGCCCTAAATCCAGTGACAAGTGTCCTTACATGAAACAGAAGGAGGAAAAGCCATGGAGAAGAGACGGGACTGGGGCTGGAGGGATGTGGCCACAAGACAAAGAACTGGGAACCAGAAGCTTGAAGAGGCAGGAAGGACCATCCCCTGGAGCCCTGGAGGAAGCAGGGCCTTGCTGACACCTTGATTTTGGACTTCGGGCCTCCTGAACTGTGAGAGAATAAATTCCTGCCGTTTTAAACCATCCAGTTTGTGAAACTTTGTTACAGCAGCTCCAGAAAAAACTAATACAATGCTCAATGAGGTCCTAGCAGGGGAAGTGGGTTGAGAGTAATTTCTCAGTCTGGGAGTGCCAGTAACGAAATGGACAGAATTTGTAAAGTACTACTTTATTTTGTTTTATTTATTTTACTATTTTATTTTATCTTATTTCACTTCATTTTGTCTTACTTCCACACCGCATGGCTTGTGGGATTTTAGTTCCGCAACCAGGGATGGAACCCCGACCCCCGGCAATGACAGCGTGACGTAGTAACCGCTGGACTGCCAGGAATTCTCTGTAAAAACCACTTTTCAATCTTCATAAGGTCCTTCCCACTACGCATGTCCTGGAAGTGATGTTGCAAACGCCGAGCAAACTTTGCACACATGAACACAAACCCCCAAACTGGCCTTTGCCACCCTTAATGACTTGAAAAGCATTCCTCTCGGCCTCTGGTTCTGATAAGGGGGAGAGCCTGATTCTTAGATGAAAACGGGGTCCAGACCTGGGATGTCCTTTCCTCTCCAAGGACAGACTCCTGCCTCAGAGGCTGTCACTTCCGTACCTCCCAGGCCACATGTGATACCAAACACCAATGCAATGTCAGACGTCCAGCCAGCTTTGATATCAGCCCTGGACTGGGAAAAGTCAGCCTCTCTACGAGCTCCTGTGTTACCCGACATAGGAATCTGGGATCACCCAGCCTTGCCGGGCCTGCTCTTGTTCAAGGGTGCCAAGCAAGCACACTCACGGGCTTCTGATGGTCTCCTAAATGGGCCTGCATGTCCGCAGTTCTCAATGCCCGCCGCCTCCTTCCTTGCACTTTCGGCTGAGGGGAGCTGATATAGACGCCTCTACCTGCCCAGCCCGGGGTGTCTGTGTGTTCTCCTCTCACCATATTTCCAGTTCTGGTCCAAGCCTGTATCTTGCTCCTTTGTGTTTGGCAATTTCAATACCTACATGTACAGAGAGAGAGAAAGAGGGGCAATTTCAGCACCTACAACTGGTGCAAAGGCAGATCCCAACCCTCTCGCTGCCACAGGTGTCGTAAAAAACAAAAGGGCATCTCCCAGACCCTGCACACACCTGCAGGAAATGAGAGACACAGGCAGGGCCTGCAGCTGACCCTCAGCACCAAGGAGGAGCAGGGCGGGGCGAGGGGGAAGTCACACACTGGTAGTTTATTAACCAGCTGGGCGGGGCTGTGTAGGGAGAAGGCAGGACCCAAAGGCACCAGCAGCAGGTACCAGCCGCCTCTGGGTTTGAGCAGCAGGCCGGGGAGGAAAGGCTTCCAAGTGGAGACTCAGCTCTGGCCACCGAGACTGCCTCTCTTCACTCCAACTAGATTTGCTCTGAGCTCTGATGAGATGAAAGCAGGTTGAGATCGAAAAAAACAAAAAGGATGAAGGTCCGAGGCACATGGCTGCTAAGATGCCCTCACCTGAATCATTCTGTTTGTACTGCGGTTGGCAACTCTGCTGCAATAAGCAGCTGAGGACAGCCAGTCTGAGGCGGCCCGAGCCTGTAGGGTCGCCCAGCGCAGCCCCACTTCAGGTGTAGACGTCAACAGTGCAAACTTGCGCTTTCAAAGGTGAGCTGGTGCAGGTGACAACTGTATGGGGACCCCCGTCACACACACACAACGACCACACCTAGTCTCTAAGCTGGGGGGGCTCACCCCTATTCCACTTCCCTCTTTGGGTCGGTTTCAGCTCTAGAAATGTCACATGCGACCCCAAAGATATTTGAGGACAGGTTCACCCCAGCCCTCCCTTCTCCACTTCCACGGCCAGACTTTTCTTAGCACGTGTACATACCACGTGTCCCCAGTCACTGTAACCCACTCCGCACCCCCATTCATGAGGAGGACCCAGGCACTTACGGGCATAGGCGTGGTCATAAGATAGCTTATCTTATCTGTCCCCATGCCAACGGCTGCGAGTTTCTCCAGAGCAAGGCTGCGTGTGCGTCACAGCAAGCCTGGCGGCCAGAATGGACCTTCGCCCCTCTGCCCCACGCCGCCCCTAGACTCACTCTTTAAAATCCTTTGCAAATTGCCCTCGAAGTCCAGGGCCCACTGGTTGAGCGCGCAGGTGGCCACGGTCACCTTCCGGCCCATCCTGGCTGCAGTCGCCTGGGCAAAAGGCCGGCCGGACGGTGGGTCTTTCTGTCCTAGGGAGACAGGCGGCCGCGGCTTGTGTCCTTCCGGGTTGCCCCGTCCCGTCCCGCCAGGCCCTGCAGGGACAGGACCGCAGAGCCCCAGCGTCAGGCCCCGCCCGCGATCTCCCCGCCCAGCCCCGCCCAGCCCGCGGAGCTCCCCGCCGCGCCTGCGCAGGAGGGAGGCCCGCGGAGCCGCGCGTGCCCTGCAAGGGTGCGAGCGCGCAACCCCCGCCCGCGCCGCCCCGACTCTGACTGGGCAGGTGGGACCGTCGCCAAGTCCTGGAGCGCAGGTGGAGAGGGGCCGGCCCGCCCGCGTGCCCCCGTACCTCCCCGCAAACTGCATCTTAATACGCTTGTGCAACTTTATTTTCCCCCGTGATATTAATTACGTTCTTTTGGTTATTTCTGCGTTTGTCACTGTATTGTAGGAATAAAGCCCACTTTATCCGTTCATAACGGGCGGGCATTTAAGTTAGCAGCGTTGTGCCAGCACACGCGCGCACTGCTATTTTCATTCCTGTAATGCATCCCGTGTGAGGGCAACTAGTTTCGCTACGCCTACCGTTGCCAGTTTCCGCTGGAGATGCACTTACCTGCGCCTCGCTCGCCAGGCGTAGGATATGCATATGTGCAACTTTACTAAATGTTATGCAATTTCCTCCCTGAAGCATTTGAACCTATTCACTACCAGCAGTTTTTCAGGTTTTGTTTTCATATTTCACCCTTTAGTCCCCTTAGGGTAGGAATTCATTTTTTTCCCCTTGTGAATAAGTAGCTGGCTGACCATCGTTGATGGAATAGGCCATCCATTTCTACTGGTTTGCAATGCTGCCTCTGCCATACATACTGTACACGTTTTCACATTTCAGACAAACTTGTATCCTGTTTATAAAGTAATGCTTGTTCATGAGCTTCGATTTGGAAATTTCAGAAAACCACAAAAATGTTTATATGTTCATTCATTTAATCCTCACTTCAACCCTTTGGGGCAGTTTTCATTGCTAGAAATACCTCAGTTCTTTCCAGTGTGCTCAAATATCTCCTGCCAACCATGGCTGATTCTAGGCCTTGGGCGGGGAAGGAGCAAATCCTCCAATGTCTGGTTGGAGCAGAAAATAAGGACGTTCTCCAAAAATGATGGGAACATGTTATTTGAAAAGAAAGAATCAGTTTGGAGGGGTTCCCACTGGCCAAGTATGGGACAATATGGGAACTTAAAAAAAAAGTAAGTGACAGTACAGGATCGTAACTCAATGAGCAAAAAATCTATTAGTCCATACTGACAAAAAAATTAAGAGAGGGAAATTCTTTACAGAAAAATGCCAACTAATAAATATTGAAAGGATGAGGAAGTTAGATCACCCTTTTTGCATCAAGAAGTTTGGTTCAGGCAAGACTCATCATTAAATGCTAGATAATTGGACAGAGGGTTATTTGTGAACAGTGTATTTACAGTCTCAAAAGTATCACTCCACAGCTTACGCGTTAATCATGAAAGGAAAAATGGAAACTTTGGGCGGATACCACCTGAACCACAGGATCAAACTTACCATCAGCAAAGGGACAAAGTGACATCTTGTTGCCTCCTGCTATGATGCATGAAGATACGACATCTGGGTAGTATATCATCCTGCCCCACAATGCGTAACCTAAAAGCAAGGACAACAGCCAAACCAAATCAAGAGACTTGCTGTGAAAAGCCAGCCTTGACTCTTCAAAATTGTCAAGGACGGAAAAGAAACAATAAAACAAACTGCTGGGGCAGTGGTGTAGACGAAGGCAGGCTGAGGAGCTAAATGCACAGTGTGGTTCCCTGATTGGATCCTGGGTTTTTTTAAATGAGCAACAAACAACATGGTTGGGACAACTGCAGGAAGCTGAATATGGGTAATATATTAGACAATAGCCTTGAATGGATGTTAAATTTCCAGCGTGTGCTCATTCTATTTTGGTAAACTAGAAGAATGTCCTTGTTTTTAGGAGATGGATACTGAAATGTTCAGGAGGGAGGTATCATCTGTAGCTAATTAGTGGTTCGGGGAGGGGGGGAAATGAGTTCTACAGAGAGAGAGAGAGAGAGAGAGAAATTAAATATGGCAAACTGTTGACGGCTGCTGAATCTAAGTATGTGGTTGTTCAATTTACTATTTATTCAACTGGTTTGCATGTTGCACATTTTCAAAATAAAAGACTACAGGGGAAAAACATGTCTCTGTGAGGGACACAGAGATGGCCATCCAGATCCCTCTGCCAGTAAGCCGATGCCCCAGATGTTGGAAGTTGGGGTCAGCAGCAGACACCTTCAGCTCCCCTCCCCTCCAGGGGCTGCCTGGGTTGCACAGCTGCCCAACCCAAGGTCATGCCCTTGCTAGGGCAGGGGTATATGAAGGAGGCTTGGCCATTCCTGC